TATGTATATATATAACAAATAATATTTCTATATTCATTCAAAATCTGCTATAGATCTTATCTAAAATAGAAATTTGTTTGATCATATTCAACAACCTAGGCCTGTTATGCCTCATGTTTCAGTCGTCTGATCAAAATGAAGGCAGTAGCTACATATTCTCAACGTCATCACTGAGTCTTGCTACAATTCCTATTTTGAGCTGTCACTATGTTCTAGCTTGGAACATTTCGTTTTCTTTATTTCACGTGGAAAGATAATGGATTCATATTTTTTTCTCTTTAGGCAGTGTGTCATTGTAGGAAACACATAATGTTTCAATGCTCATACACATGCAAAATCTACGATGCAAATGTAGGCTAAAGACTAATATAGAGTCAAAACTTTTCTTTTTAAAAACCTGTGTTTTTAGAAAGTGAAAAGCATGCGGTTTTATTTTAAGTTCTCTGAGAACAATATTTGTTTCAGTATTTAGATATCAATAACATTCATAGCAATAACAGTGTTGACAGGGCAGTGGGAAATGAATCCAACTTTTTGAGGTTTTAAAATTCTTAAATGTTTTTTTTTTAAATAGTTTTTTCTTTATGGCCTCTAGTTGTTGGGGTTTATTCTTTTGCATTGGCCCTCCCAAATATTTATACGAAACAAATGTGTCTACATGTTTATCAAAGCCTTGAAATCATACGAAAAAGGAAAAGCTCTTTGTCTTTTTACTTGTGCAATAAAATATTTTGTGCTTATTTAATCTTGTTATCCTTTCTTACCCTTGAATTATTTTTTTTTGTAGAAAATGCAAGTCAAGAGATATGTGCTCTATTTTTCTGTTTATTTACTTTTTAATCAGTACATAAAACAGTTGTGTTTGCGTTGATATTATGTCAAATGTAGAGAAAAAAATGAAAAGAAACACTTTTTTCTCTTTCATCCACTCTGCACTGCATCTCTCTCTCTTTCTCTCTTTCTCTCTCTCTCCCTCTCTCTCTCTCTCTCTCTCTCTCTCTCTCTTGCTCTCTCTCTCTCTCCCTCTCTCTCTCTCTCTCTCTGCCTCCTCTCTCCAACAGCCACAAAGCCAAAACACAAAATCAAAAGAGACAGCATCGAATGGAAACTATAGAAAGTAAAAAGAACTAGAGTAGCCAGAACAAACAACAACAAAAACAAATAGAAAAAAATATATATATAAAACCGAGACAAATAAAGAATGACAAACAAAAGGAAAAGCCTCGCTGATCTCTTACGTAGCTGTCCCACGTTGCTATAAAATAAGAGTCACGAAGACATGTTATCATCATCACTGTTTCGTATCCTCGTGTAGGGGGGCCGGATCTCGGGGGCCGCCAGGGCGCTTCTCACGTCTCAGACTCAGAGATAATGGTTTGAGATGAAGTGAGGCCTATACGTTCTTATACTACTATCCCTCTGAACGTCTAGAGTGAGGCCCTAGTCCGTGTGTTTTGTCTCATTGTCAGTCGTGCGTTCTTGAAGAACAGGCATAGGTGAGTGTATCCGATCGAGTCGCGGGTCGAATCAACTTATTCAGGACGATTTTTTTCCTCCTTATCTGTTAGTCCGTCGTGTTTTACTGTCGTATCCATACGACGTGGGGAACTCTGTGCCACCACTTCCAAAGAGGAAATTTACTCGATAATCCGATCCGAACGCTTTCATAGCAGTCTGACAAAAGGATTTTTTGAGAAATAAGGAAAGTTTCAAAGAGATCTTCGTACTAGAAGTATTCTAAAATGTGAAGAATACAACCCCGGGGTACAAAATGACCCCAGGGCGTACGGATTGGGTTCATTTTTTTGCGCAGGGGGGGGGGGGGTGAGTTGGTTGTTGTTTATCTACTGCAGTTTGTGCGTTTGTGTAAAGAGAAACACATCGATACAACAATGACCATTTAGTGCTAGGAAAAAGTAAAACAGACAAACAGTTCCAACTGACGGAAAGTGAAGATATTGGACTTACCAGTGGCGTCCTTCAACCACCCTGTTTCTGCAGTTGAAACCATTTGGAATGCATTTAGTTTCTAACCCTTTGAATCAGTATGAGGGTGTTGAAATATAACCGCCTTCACAGAACATTTGTAATGGCATATTGATTACAGGAAAATATGACAGGAGTAATGTCAGAGAAAGGAGAGGGGGCTCTCGTGGCCTAGAGGCTAAAGTGTTTGCCTCTCATTCAAAGGTCCCGGGTTCGAATCCGGGAAGCGACCGAAACTTTTCTTCTCTAAAATTGTTTCCTTTCACCTCCTATCCTGCTCTCCAACAATGTTCTGTCGTCTGCTTTCGTCTCCAATTTCTGCCCCCACCCACTAACCTCCTTTGCCCCCTCCTCTGGGCTCCTTACTCTTTATGCAGCCTTTCAACTGCTACTCCTTGGCTCCTTCTTACTGCTGTCTTTCAGCCACACCCCTGATCTTCTGG